AGACAGGTGGACACAAAGCTTTCTCCACTTAAGAAATGGCTACAATGTGATAAGTCTCCAAAGTGTACTCAACACCATTGAAGAGCCACACATCAAGGCCTGGAGATGAAGATGGCTCAGTGGGATATGATAGCTCACTGGGTAAGACAGGCCTGAAGCCCTCAGTTCAATTCCCAAATTCCACAATTTGGCAGGAGAGAACACTTTACCAAGAGCTGTCCTTTGACCTCCACATATGCATCGTGGCACATGGCACGTGTACACCAACTCTCTCAATCAACCTCTCTTTCTCTCTCTCTCTCTCTCTCTCCCCCTCCCTCCCTCCCTCCTGTCTCTCTCTCTCCCGCTCCCTCTCTCCCTCTCTAAATTAATATTTTTTAAAAATGTGAAAGGACCACACATGAGCACCCTACCTGACACACCTATCTGTGTCAGGGGAAAGTATCTGTAGGCACCAAGGCTTTTACTTCTTGCCAAGCACTGATTCCACCTTTGTTTCAAGCATCCATGATTCCTCTCCCAGCCCATTAAAGCCTATAAATCAGATGATCCATCTTCTCTGCTGTCGCTGTCCTACACCCAGACTCCTCTGAGGATGGGCTTAGAACGCCAGTGTCACTGGGAAGGTTATCCAAGGAGCAACATGAAAACGAAACCTTCAGAAATGTCCCCTAGTTCTTCTCTACTCTCACTTAGGTAACAGGTTAACTGGTTAGAAAAACAGGGAAATGGAGGGAGGTCCATCAGTATCTTAAGGCCCCAAACCAAATTACGCTTTCATAATAAAAACAGGCATACACATGTATGCAAATATATCTTTAATATATAAACATACATTAATAGCTATGCACACATATAAGTACAAACTCATTTTTAATTAAAGGGAGTACACACAGCTCAAATGGAAAGAGACAGAGAAGGAGTTATTAGAAACTGTAAGGAGGGCTGGGGAGAAATTTCCGTTAGTGAGGTTCTTGCCTCTTAAGCATAAAGCTCTCAGTTAGATCCCCAGCACCCACATGAAACGCCAGGAGTGAGCTTGTGTTTGTAATATCGATGCTGGGGAGGGAAGAGACAGACAATTTCCTGGGACATGCTGACAGTCAGCACGTGAACACCGGTGGTCAGCAAAGTTTGGACAATGGGTACAAGGATAAAGTTAGGCTGAGGGAATAAGTTCTGGTGTTTTTTTTTTTCTTTTTGGCAGAGTAAGGTAACTACAGTTAATGACAATGTACTGTATATTTCAAAATGGTCAGAAGACAGAGACTTCAAAGGTTGTTTCTACAAAGAAATGATAAATTCACAGTTGATGAATATCAAGTTATCCTGACTTGATCATTTAACAATTCATAAATGTATCAAAACATTAAAATGAAACTACAAATATTACAGTTACTAGTGTCAATCAAAAATAAACTCAAATATTTTAAAAAGAATCTTTACTCCAAGGAAAGAAAGGAGTAATGACTAACGTGTGAATCATACATTAATAATGTTTAACGGAAAGATGATCCAGAGTGGAATCACAGGGTGGTGCTTTGGAGCTCCTCAGAGCAGTGCTGCCTTCTGACCTCTTCATGCCTAGTCCAAGCAGAGGGTCTCAGAGGTCTCTCCCTCCCTCCTAAGGTATTGATTAACACTGAAAATACATTACTTTAAAATATTTTATTTGTTATTTTATTTATGGTGCCTTTTAATTTTATTTATTATTTTTATTTTATGTGTATGAATGTATTTCCTGCATGTATGTAGGTGCACCCATGTCATTGCAATGCCTGTGGAGGTCAGAAGAGGTGCCAGATTCCCCTGGAACTGGAGTTATGGACAGTTGTTAGCCACCATGTGGGTGCTGGGAACAGAACCCAGGTCCTCTGCCAAGAAGCAAGTGTTCTTAACTGCTGAGCCACCTCTCCAGACCATGGGTAGTATTTTTGTATGACTAAGATTTTGACTCAGTGTTTTGGGCCAGTGTGATCAAGTGATTCCACTTACAATGGAAGAGTAAGAGACACAAGAGCAGAAGTACAGGAAGCGGTCAATACTCCCCTCTGTTCCAGGAAGGAAGAAGAGGAGAAATCAACGTGGATCCCTGCCTTCCAGCGGGCCAGGCCCACAGGCTCCTGAAGGCATCCCTATAGGCTACAAATGGGATAGCGGTTGCCTCCCCTAGAAAGGAGACAATGATGCTGTATGCTTACTTAATGCTTTTCAAGGTTGATTTAAGTCTACAGAAAATGCCACACTGTGCCACAGTAAATCAAATAGAAAAGGCAGGTTTATAGTATGCAAACTGCTTAAAGTACACCAACCCTCAAAAATAGGTTGCTAACAACGGAGACAAGCATATAAACAGCAGGGACAGCAATGGCTTAATAGGCAAAGCCCTTGCCATGCAAACATGAGGACCTCAGTTCAGATCCCCAGAACCCACGAAAAGCTGGGCACGGTAGCAAGCATCTATGATCCCAGAACTCCTATAGCAAGATGGGAGGCAGAGGCAGGGGAATCCCGAGAGATTCACAGGCCAGCCAGCTTGGCACACACAGCACCAGTAAGACCCTGTGTCAAACAAGGACCGACACTCAAAGTTGTCCTCTGACCTCCACATGGGGACTGTGGCACATGTGCACCCATATTCATTATACACACACACACACACACACACACACACGCACGCACACACGCACACATGCACACACATACGCAATTACAGAATATATACACTTAATGATTAAAATTGCCATGCATTCCCTTTCAAATAACTACCAATGAACTCAACTAAAGCAGCATACACCTCTCCCTTATCCAGAAATCTAACTACAGATTAAAACAAATTAAAATCAGTTATAAGGTATATAATGGTAATTAATTGTCTAATAATGGCTCTGAGGTACCACAAACCCCAGGAACTCATAAATTAATCTTCAGAAATGAAGCTCAAGTAAGTGGTAGTTTCACACACTATGCATTCTAATCCTCACAAATTATAAATTAATGTATGGTAAATTCAAAAGTTGTTAACCAGAATAAGAAGCAATGTTTACTTGTAGATTAATAAGAGTTTTGTCTGTATGCTTTTCTGTACACTATCACATATAGAAGCGATCTGTATCTTTGCATTTGCTAACAGAAAATTAGGCTCTGAAAAAAAAAAACAAAAAAAACCTATGATGGTAATAACTACCAAGGAGAACAAAATGAACAATAATCTGTTAAATTGCAATTACAAATTCACACATTTTCATTAACTACACATCTTCAAAGGCTGAACTATATTTGCATATTTTAAAAGATCTAATCTGTAATGACTGCATGTATCTATGTAGCTCAGGAAACTAACACATATTCAATACTTTGGTTATTCTTCTTAAGACTTACCTCATGAATCCCTCAGTTTTATATAAAAAATATTTAAATCATGCTTTAATTGCTTTTATCTACAAGAAAATGCTGCCATTGTATCAATTTTAGTGTAAACTTTGCTTTTTGGTGCTTTTCTACACTGAGCTACACTCCAGCCCTTCGGTGTATTTACTTTTAACCCCATTCTTTTTTACAGTTCCCTTCTGGAGGGGCACAGAACCACAGATGGCCATTTACAGGTCAGGTTTTGTCCTGTCACCTGATCCAGACTCACTGGTCAGGCACAGATTAGGTAAGAACTGATGTGAGTTTGTTTGAGGGGGGCTCTTTCTGATACTCAAAAAGAAAGTGAGAGCCTCTTGAGGGAATGTGTCCTTTAGGGGGGGGTCTTCTAATTTTGCACCGGCAATTGTGACATTACATTGTGAGACAGAAGCAGATTAAAGTCTGGCTGCATTTTTTCACAATCTCTGGAGATGTTTAAAAGTACACTAGATTTCAGCCTTGGGGATCAGTTAAGCAGAGAGCTAAATGACCATCTTAGGGGAAGGAAACTGAGGTAAGAGGGGAGTATGACAGAAGACACATGGGAGCTGCCAGGGTCCCTGTGAACCCCAAAACATAGAGGAAGAGAGGTGTTAGGGGAACTTCCCACAGTCCCCCTTAATGGGAAGGGTGGACTTCAGTCAGATACAGCGAAGCCTGGAGCTAAAGCTAGCTGGCTCCTTCTCCTCTTCCCTCTGCCTCTTCTCTGTCTTTTCTTTTTCCACTGAAGGTCATCATCTCACTAGAGGAAAACCTTCTACGTAACTGTGTGTGCCTTCCTGCTATTCTCTATAGATTTTATAAACTGCTTAACAATTTTTCTCACAACACTTTGCATTCATAGAGTAATAAAATATGTTCTGATCTGAATGCATCTGGTAAAGTTCCTCAGGTACCATGGGTATTCAACCAATTTAATAACTTCAAAGTTTTCCAAACAATGGGGCTAGAGAGATGGTTCAGTGGTTAAGAGCACTGGCTGCTCATGCAGAGGACCCAGGTTCGAATCCCAACACCCACATGGCAGCTAATAACTATGTATCTGCAATTCCAGTTCCATGGGATTCGATGCCCTCTTCTGGCCTTGGTGGGCACTGTGTGACATGGAAGCACTTATACATGCAGGCATAACATTCACATGCATAAAATAAAAAAAAAATAAATTAAAGGATAGTTTTCTAAACAAAATTGGCAAAAATGCCCTTGAGCATGTCAAGGAAAAACACTGTACAAATATCAGAGACAATTACTACATGCAGCTTTCAATAAAACAGTTTAAAACACCATGTGTTAATTGCTACCAACAGGAAGAATATCACAAGATAATTTTTTAAAAAGTAAATTTTATGTGGGGTACTTGGAAAACAGAAGCAGGCAGATCTCTGTGAGATCAAGGCTAGCCTGATTATCTATCTATCTATCTATCTATCTATCTATCTATCTATCTATCAATCATCTATCTGGTTCCAGTCAGCTGGGGCTACAAAACCCAGACTCACAAAAACAAAAAGGCAAAATAATTAATAATAATAAATTTGTATAAATACAAAAAATCAGTTTGCTAGTTTAGAAAACCAGAGTCTACTTACTACTTGTACGTTTCAGAACGGATATATTCAAAAACGTGGGAAACGCCAAGCTGGAACTGATCAGCAATTGGAGTGACCCAGGGATTGTTCTCTGCTTTGAAGACCTGCTTCTGCCCAGTCAAATCCAAGTTTCCTGAAAGTACAAAGAGAACGAGAAAGAAGCTGAAGGGACATATCATCAACCAAGATCAGGGGGAAGAAGTCCTTAGGTACTTTGTAAGCTATTTTAATTTTATTTACATTTTAAAGTTCTTACTC